CAAGTACTTATTGAGGTGACTGCAGGCTCTTCAATAAGTAAAATGGTTTATCTTGTTCATTGACTCTAAGTGGCTTATGCTAATTCAATGCCATTTGTTTTCAGACGCTCCTCCCACTTTCTAGAAGCCTGTGACACTTTACATAGACTGCTACCCGTAAAGTTTCATGTTTTCTTTATCAATATTAACAACTCGTTAGCTCCTTTAAAGGGGTTGCAATCAGCTTCTCGGTGATCAGATATTTCCATAAAATTCTATTTTTGTTTTCTTTAAAGCGTTTTGTATTAACACCTGGGAGTTAAATATTTTGGTGAGTTGTGGTGAAAGTTTACTTTTTAAGTGATAATAATATTCCCATCTTTCGACTTTGATTTAGTTTGGCGTGTTTGCTTATCTGGTTTGTCATAGACCCATGCTCGTCTGATGAAAGTGTACGTTCAAATCACTCGATTCCTTCCTTGAAATAACTTTCACTGCATACTTATCCCTTAATTGGTATCTATTTTTGCATTATTTAAGTAAGGTTACAAGACTGAAGTTTAACCGTGGGTACTGTGATGTTTTTAATATATGTTGAAATTTTGCCTTTTCTGGCATTTATAAAAAATTTTGCGCTTCTGAGGACGATTTTGAGAATTTGGCTTCTCTGCTTGGGCGCATGGTCTTAATTAATTTTGAAAAGTGTGAACATTTTAAAAGGTATTTGCAATACACAAAAAAATCAAGACAGTCACCGAAAGAGCTCAAATGTAGGTGATTGTAATAAAAGGACACTATCTTTGTCCAAGTGTATGTGCTTTATATTTTTGTGCTACATGGGATAACAAGTTTATGATTCATTAAGAAACATAGTGGCCTAGAAGGAAGGATCCAAAAGAACGATTTAGGAATTGCGCCACCAATGAAAATTCCCAAGGTCGCATCAACTCTAAAACACAAAAGAACAATGATTGCCTCTTCTAGGGAAGCACATCGTTTGTACGAAGGACTGTGCGCTCTAAACGGCATGGCACTACCTTAACTTTGTGAATATTACCCAATTTGTTTATTGACAAATAAAGCAAATTTGATTTAGACTTTGGCTTTTTCTACTTTACTATATTTCAAGATTCATGTATGAAAAAATCACATTTTGTCATATAAGCATGATTTTTTGTTTTACAGCATTCATTAAACCCATTTCTTCTTCCAGGTTCAAGAACTCCAATCCCAACGTCAGCTGGCTACTAGCCAGAGTGATATCAACCGTCTGGAGGGATTAATTCATCAACTAGTAGAAGAAACTGCAGAAAAAGATAGAAAATATCAGGACCTCCAGAAACAATACTTTGCTAGAGAGCAAAGGCTTAGGACTTCCCTGGGGGTATGTAGACCCATTGAGTCATATACTTAATTCGATTTCAGCGTCCTAGATCGAGAGTTGCGGGTAGCGTTTCCTTGGCAGAACGTGAAAACCTCCTGAAAAAGGTTATTGCTTTAAAGAAGGAACGTGATGATCTTTATGAACGTTTGAAGCACTCAGAGAATGAACGCACTAATGTACAAAGCCAACTGGCGCGTCAGAACGATCTTTTTGAGCGCACTTCCGCAATCACCAAGTTGGTGGAGAGGTATGGATTTGATAGGAAATTAGATGGCGAATTCTTCCAGTGGCGACCACTGGTGGCTAAAAGTGGGGCTCCTGATTACAAACTTCAACTTCAGGTCAGCTTTGTGCGTTCGCAGGGTGTGCCTACTAACAAAAGAATAAGTAGTTTGTTTCACCTGATAGTGATATGAAGGCCATTTTTAAGTTCCCATAGTTATTGGCGTTTCTTACACAATTTCATTTTTAGCTAAGTCAGCAAAAGGAGAAAATAGAATATTTAGAGGGTCTAACCAGACGCCAAGAACGACAAATTGCAAAGATGGAAGAGGAGAATGTGGATTTGACTGAAGCCATGAAGGAAAAGGAAGCGGCCTGGAAGAATTATGCTAAAAGGAGTCCTGCGAAACCTAAGGTGATGTTTTGTTTAGTAATGTCACTTCTGAAGATTATGTATTAATGTACTCATTCGTGGTAAAATTTTGATACTTTTAATCAACGTCACATGTCTGAACTCTCGGAATCTTATGGATGTGGCTGGTGGTCTTTTTGGACCCATGATAAGTGGTAGCGTTAAATCGCGTTACAAAAAAATTGGCTGATTTAATGCCATAAAAAGCGGTGTGGGATTTAAGGGGGTACAACTCTAGATAGAGTGTATTTTTTGTGGACTTTTGGGTTGGTGGCGAAGGCGTTAACTATGCAGACATTGTCTTCTGTCGAGCGACGATCCGAAGGTGTTCGAGATTAAACTTCCAATAGTCCTGTGTAAATCCTTTTGCTCAGGTTTTGAACACTGAGACAACAGGGGTACAAACCCATCTTCCGGAAACTTCCTCAGGAGACGATCTTCAACAGACGAGATGTCTCCTAAACAAAGTTCGCAGCCAGATCGTTCAACTGAAGGCTGAACATGTAATTGAACTTGCCAAGTTGAACGCCAAGGTAAGAATTGCTACTGAATATGTTGTGGGAATGGAAGACTTTTTGAGTGGGTAACACAGGCAGGGCGCTGAACCACCAGTGTGGTTGCCGAATGACGGAGGACTCTAAGGTCCCGTGAGTGCTCTTCTTTACACAAGTCTTTCAGTGGTTGATAAACACGGAGAGAATACCCCTAATTCAACCGATGTAAAGTATTTGGTGAATTGGTTTGAAATCTTTCCATTTCACATCTTCCGTTAAGCCAAGTGTATTGGGTGGTATTTACCTGGCAAGTGTTGCTAAAGGCTGGACGGAATTCTACAGTGAACACCTTCCATGTGTCAATTCACCTTCAAGGCGGTAGCTTGCCCCCGAATAGAAATCTAGATTAATATAAACCTCAAACGTTGACGAAGCTTCGATACTCCTTGTGTGTGCGGCTCCGTAAATATTAGGCATTTAGAGCCGAGGCTCTTTTTTATACCGCACCTGGGTAGCATCCACCGAATAAATTCAAGATTGTCATTTCTTACGGAGTGGGTATCCATAAGTCATCAAAGGCATGGGCGTCTGCAGGGAATTCTATTACTGATCTATAAGGAGCCCAGACAGGTACCAACCAATCAAATGTCAAGTTTCCCTACAGGAACGCTCTCCTCCACCTCAAATGCCCAAATCGCCTTCGGCGGCGCCCAGAAACGATGCCGAGATCCTCTATAGGCTCAGTGACCTTGAAGCAAACTTATGTAGTCAGGTTGAGGCCAATTCAAACAAGCTAGAGGCAGCGTTGGGGGAAATCACCCGACTTCGAGCCAGAAGCAACCAGTGAGTGTAGTGACCGGAAGGTCATTCTCAGGTCAACATTGTTATGATCTCCGATCCTTTCTTTTGTGTTTTTGTAACAGAGATGAAAAGGCGGTCGTGATGGCCTGTGTGAGTGATTTGAAAGCCGATTTACAGAACCGCGATGAACAGATTCAGAAATTGGTAAGTACTGTCAAGGAGTCCAAGGACCAGGCCACCAGCGCGATGGAAGAGTGTACAGGACTGAGAAAAGAGCTGGAAAAGAAACGTGTCGAAGTCCAGGTGAGGAAGATGTTCCTCTTCTTTGGCAAATCAGTTTGTAAATGTAAATGCGTGGTATTAATATGGCAATTACCTAAAGAATTTACGTATCCGTAGTGATGATGCTCATGTCAATCCGGGACTTTGGGGTTTGTACTATTACAGATTTGATTCCAAAACTTTCAAACCCCATACTTTTTTAATCATGCTGTGTAAGTTGTGTATGCTTTGAAGATTTAGATTTTTTTTGTAAAAAAAAATGATTTGTTATCGTTAGACTGATGTCGTGGTAAAGGGATTGTGGTAACCTTTCGAAGTTTCATCCATTCAAAAGTGAATCCCTTGCATTCACCATTTCGATGTAATAATTGGTCTCTGCTGCAATTCCGTCATGCGGTATGTTTCTTGCGCTAGCAGAATGTCCTCCGGAGTGACCGCTGGCGGCTGGTAATCATCACAGCCTGAATCGTTAATGCCGTACGACTGGCCACCTTTGGTCGTTCACACTGCGTGTTCTCAAAGTCTTCCGTTGACCCAAGTAGACATCTGCCGCTTAAAAGTTGCTGTCTTTGTTCACAAGCAGCTTTTACTCATCACTAAATGCTGTTTTATGCACCCACTCACAACCGCTATTGCCTAATACTTTGATGAGCGGTATCTGGACTGGCGAAACCACAGCATTGACGGTGGTTATTGTAAATGGTAACGTGTAAAACTGCCATGACGATGTCTCCTTCCAAATGAACTCGCACAAAAGTCCCGTTTTGACCTGGACAACTTTTCTATTAATTAATTGCGTCTACTTGCGTCACTCGACTAGTCTTGCTTAACTGGCCTACTCTTTTGTGCCTCTTTGACTCCCACGACTTAGTAAGTGAGCTGTAGACTTTCCCTGAACTGCTGTTGAAAGCCTCCATATTCACCGCAAGGGACAAATTCTACCAACAAAGACGTCCTGAAGTGTGAGTGTGGAGGTCACTTTGTTGTTTACCACTTTTGGGTACAAATCAGGTGTCTCCTTTACAGCAGTGGCTGGCATCTATTCGCGCCTACACCTGCTGTGCTCAAAGCGCCACAGGATCGGTTCAAGCGGAGGCCAACGAAGCATATCTATCACCTTTTAGGCAACTAGAAATTTCGACCAAGGCGGTGTCGTGAAGTCGTGTTTGTAAAGCGAATGTATTATTTAGTGGCAAATTTCACTGGCAGTTGAATACACACTGCTTGAGAGGAATCTGAAAACGGTCCCAAATCGAAGCACCTCACCGTCAGTCCATTGGGTGGGTTCGCCCAAACCATATCCCATTAAATCTTCGACTGTGGTACACGGTTTTGGAAGAGAGGCTTATAACTCCTTGGAAAACACCACATCTACCCTTTAAATGCTCTTTTTTTTGCGATTCGGAACCTCAGTAGTTGCTACGATGACGTGGCATCTCTAACACTAACTAATCTGCGACAGCTAAATTTATCACCACGCCTTTGCCCTTTTTTGGGGCTGGCAAATCGGCCTGAAGTGAGTGTAGTGGAGATTATTTTATTCCAAAATGACTTCAAAAAGGAAAAGCTTTATGTGATTTAATTTTCTGACCGGAGGGTATTAACCGAAGGCACAGATTTGCCTTCGGCCCCACCCTTCCTCCCCCACATCACGTCCTCCCTTTGAAGGCGGACTCACCACCAAAAGAATCTTCTGTCAGTAGATTGTAATCTGTTGTGATGGCCCTACCGGCACTACACTGACCTGTAAGGTTTCCCTTGTAAGATGGGACGGAGAGAGGAAACTGCCTCACCTTTATTCTTGACATGTCTACTAGACAATGTCATGATCAAATACGAAATGGAATAGAGCGTTGAGAAAATGCATTTATAGTAATGAAAACAGAAGCGGCTATTGCTAAGTTCTTTTTTTCTAGAGGTAAATCCTGGCTTTATGCAGTTTGGCTATCCCCTAAAAATTTGGAGGAAGGATGATTAAATAAGCGATTTTATCAGGCGATGATTAGTGAGCGGCAATTTGGAAGTCAAATCTTATCACAGATTTTGTGCTCTCACCGCGTCGTCATTTTATTAAATTATAATAGGAAAGCAGATGTCAATATGACAATATTCTCAACTTTTTTATTATTTTATCAGCTTTAATTAAAAGCGTTAATGCCATGCCTAAAAGACTCTCCTCCCTTTAGAAAGCTCAAAAGGAACTGCAGAAGCAGATGCAGGCACAATCGGCAACGAGGGAGCAAACCAGCGAGGCGGTGGAGCAGCTTTCCAAGAAGGTGAAAAGTCTCACTTCTCAACTTGGTAATTCCTTTACAAATGCAGCGAATTTTCCTTTTATTTTATTAAACAATATCAGTATTGCCTCGTGTTTTCTTGAAGGTGGTGGATTTTATCAGCTCACTAGTAGGCTCTCTCATTTCAACTCTTTAGATGAAACTCTACATAGAATATAGTAAGCTTTTAGTACCATTTGCAGGCATTTAATGTAAAGAAAAAGACGTAGTGGTTTTTGAATTCTAGAAAAGAAAAATGAAATTCATCAGCGCTTAAATTCGCGCATTTCGGAAGTAGAGTCGGCAAACAGCAAATTACTGGCAGAGCTTCAGACCAAGAAGGTGTCAACAGTTGACAAAGCCTTTGTTAGTCAACTGACGGAAAGAATTCGCAAATTGGAGTTGGAAAACGCCAAGTTGAGAGCGCCTGCCTCAGCTCAAGTCGCTGGATCGACCCATAACTTTCGTGTAAGGCACATATACTACCTTTAATCATTCAGTAGCGCAAATTTAAAGGCTAAACAATTTTCTGTAGGCCGACGCAGCAACGGGCGAAGCACAACAGGGCTCTGAAGAAGATTTAAAGTTAGTTCTTAAACAACTCAAACTGGCACAAAGGGAGAGGGATGCAGCAAGGAAGCAGCTCCTGAAGACAGACGCAAATTTGAAACGAACTGAAAAGTGGGTGCTTAGGCTCTTCACTTTTTAGCATTTCGTAGATGCGAATGTAAGTCCATTTTTATCTCTGCTAAAGGCATAATCGCCTTCTTCTCAACCGTTTGAGACTTCAACCCGGTGAGGGGAGCTATTTACGAAGCTGGGCAAGGAGTACTCCCAACAGAACTACAAACACTTCAGCCAAAGAATTAGCACCCATTCAACTTCGACAAGAGCTGAATGTCGCTCGTGAAGATAATGCCAAATTAAAGGTAACCGGTCAAAAAATATGCGCCCTACGTTGATGAAGCCTGTGAAAAGATTGCCTAAATTAGTTTTGCGTCTACTGATTAATGACTTTATCAGATTTTAGGATAATTATTGTATTATAATAAGTTCAGTAGAAATTCTGCTTTGCTGCCATTTTAGATTCGCAATGCTAAATTGGAGGCCTCAGTGGCCAGATTGGAGGAGCAGTTGCAACAGCTAAAGATGACGCGCCCCTATGGTCCTTCGTTGGACAAAGTTGATACCGCAGCTAAAGGTAAACAGGTAAGGATTTTAATCACACCATGAAGGGGGTTGGGAATCAGCTAATTTTCTGCTTTTAACTCTTCTTTCGGTCTCATGTTTCTTGTAATCTATATCTAGTTGCAAGCTAATGTGTGATAATTTAAAGTTTTTCTTTATAATACAACTGTCTATTTACCCAGGATGTAATGAGGGTACGTATTCTTTATAAGCTGTCCAAGTGGGCAAAAGTGAGGTCTCTGGTTCCGATTTCATCTAATGGGTTTTACGCATCCGTTGTAAAATTCTTTCTTATACAAGATCACCAATTGGTGACCATGGTGTGGTGTCATTACCAGGGTAGACAGCTAGACACAAGGTCGTTGTGATTTTGTCTTGAGAAGCAGACAGCCTAGTGGTAGTCACATTCGGTTCTAGCTTCTCCGGCGTATTTTCTATCTCTGTTCTACACCGCTTTAAATCGTGTGATTTTCTGGAACTGGTGCCTGGAAAAGGTGTTAATTGTCACCTGGAGAAAGTAAGACAATATCTCTTCTCCATCTCATCCTGAGGAACAAATCTATTTACGGGTCAGTGTAGCTACTGGGTTCACTATTTCATCATTCTTTCAATGGCCAGGTGAGTAGACATGGCATTTCTGGCTCCTCCTAGAGAGGTTTTATGCACACCTTCAAATTCTATCGAACAAATTATGCCCACTGGAGAGTTCTGTCCCCAATACATGCTCTTGTTAGGATGAAGAGGTACCTGCGTACCTTTGGAGTGTGGGCTGGGTAATGGGCAGATGGTTTGGAGATGACCAAGGGTCTGTTCTTTTACCCAACAAATGTTAATATGATTGCATAAACCACATTTTTAACAACAAACAATCAAGAATGGAAGGCGACTTTTTCCAGCAAACCTAAAGGTAGTGAAAACAACATGTTAGTAGTTGGTGAAGCTTATTACCATCTGTCATTTGTCCAGCCACTATTACCGATATACTTATTTTAAACTCTTTGCCCGTGCTATTAATCTGCCCTTCAGCCATCGGGTACCACAGGAAAAACTGCCGCGGAGTTAGAAGTAGTCATCATTAAAATGAAGTCCATTCTCGACCGTACACTGGGTGAGAACGCGCGACTAAAACGTCTGTTAACCCATACTACTAACCGAGCGAGTCTACAGAGCCTTCAAAGTGAAAATCGTCGTCTTCGAGAGCGTCTTGAACAGGCAGAAGATGCAACAGGTGCCGCCTTGGCAGAACACCAAATTGAAAGCGACAGATCTCTTGCCCATTTAACTTCAGAATACGACAAATTGCGAGCTCAACTACTGAAGGTGAGGCTTAGTTGCAGATGCCGCGAAAAGCCGATTTCCCTCACCCAACAGCATTCACCTCACTTAACCCTCTCACCTCGCCTACCCCCTTCTGAAGTGCGTAGTTCTTTTTTTGAGGCAGATTAAGTGATGCTTCTACGTCATGGCAACTGCCACAATTCGCACGGTTGAGTCAGAGTTACAAACGCAGGAGCCGTGAGGATGGTGTCAGTTTCCGGATTTTATTGCTCAAAGAATTAAGCAACATTCACCTTACGGCTTAAGATGCTAAGAGACCTAGAAGAGGCAGAAGATTAACAACCCTGATGGCGTTAGAATGGCTCCATTCCTGACTTGTGGGAGATTGAAAGGATCCATGTGAGAGGGAGCCTTGTTGAAGCAGGTATCACTTCGCCATATGGTCTTCTACCATGGTATTCCTTGCCATTGCACCTCTGTGGAACGAAACTTGTTCACCGCAAGGGAAAGCCTTCCAACTTCAATTGTGATAACCGTTTCCGTTTCTTCTGCCCTCTGTTTGAAAGGTAAAACGGAAAGAATTGAGGGTAAATACGCCTTTATATTCATCCTCATGCTTCGGATCTCTTGACATTCGTATTAGGGGATCACGCGATCTACTGAGGAAGAGAACAGTGGGGAACTACCATCACGAGGATAGAAAGGGTTGTGACTAGGACGAACCTACCCGAGTCTTGAGAGAGGGTGCTGAATAAGGGTGGAAATCGCAGTTAGTTTGTGTCTAATTGGGAAATATCTTTGTAATATGGACCATAGATTCAAGTGCTTAAACAGCTTCCTTTAAATCTTCAGGAGTATATCCTGAATGTAAGTGTGGCACCCTAAACCCTCCTTAAAATCCAGAGAAGTCCCCATACAAGGCCGGAATGTGTACTCATAACATACAGAAATGCTGAGGAGCTACCGGCTTGGCATGAAGACCATACCGCCCAGAGAACGTACAATGGCAAAGCCTAGGGTGTCCGTGTCATCAAAACTATGGGTTGAGCCAACCTCCTCCTTAAACGTCATCCTCGGCGCTCCTTTCGGTCAACCCCTCGCGTCGGCTGTCAGAAAAACACCCACAGCCAACCTCGTCAGAGATTGAATTTGCGGGCCACCGAGAGGATAATTAATCACAACGTCACTTGTCTCTCTTGGCCACTTTACTGAATCTGTAGTTTCGTCCCGTTAAGGAATGGTATTGGGAGGAGAGTGAATTGCTGGCCATCTCATATGTCCATCGTTAGTCGTAAGAACATGGGTTTAAAAGAGCAGTGTCATTTAATCCGTTCACCCTTGCCATTTTGTTATCACTGCATTGCTGTCTAGCCATATTTTTCTGGGTTCTGTCCACCTAGTTGAGGGTTGGAGGAGGTATCACGTGTTCACTTTCTTGACATCATTATTCGTGTACCGTAGACAGCTCCGTAGCGGACCTTTTTGATGGTTCACGGCTGACGTTGCTTCAATTGTTGATAAGGCTTCCGCAGAACATGGGACGGGGATAGTTGCCGAAGGTTGACATTATTTTTAACCCCTTTGTTAGGGATCATCACAGATTTGACCATCCGCAGCCTATGCCCTTCTTCCGTCAGGTTATAGTTTAGCATTCAGGAATGGAAATCAAGGAGTTTGTTCTTTAGGATCGGGTTCTGTTGCCACCATCACCAAAGTAGCACTCTAAGCCTTCTCTGAAGTCAAAAGAAGTCTTAATATTAGGGCTGGAAATGTACCACCGACGTACGGAAAGGCTGGGGGACTACTGGCATGGCATGGAGGCCGTAACAACTAGTAGAAGTGCAGTTGCGGAGCCTTAAGTGCCCGTGTAACCAGAAAGAAGAGTTAACCAAACTGTCAAAGCATTTCTTTAGAAAGGCTAATTCATCTAAACACATTATCCACCTTTTTGAACAATTGCAAGATTGCATACTTTTGGCATACCAACTTATTCTTTTTGTTTAATCAAAGGTCTTCCTCCTCAAGCGGGCCTATGACAAGTGGTCCTTTGGCAGCGGCGTCTAGCTTTTAAAATAGGCGCTTGTCCCACAATACTCCCTTAACCGCAGAGACCTTATTCCCACCGGAATCTTCTTGAACTTCTTTACCCTTTGCAGGAAAGGAAGATTCACAATCAAACAAGTAAACGACTCCTTTCAACCGAATTCCAATTAAATAAACTGAGAAGTGAGAAGGAAGGAGGACCCGAAAGGGAAGATGCCTAGGTAAGTCTAACATTGTCATTATTGACAGTGACACTGGTTGTCATGGCTCAAAGGTAACTATTGTCTTTTCGTGTCCTCTTTAGTGGTGGTCTTAGTGGCTCGCAACTCAGAGAAAAGGGAAAGAAGTCAACTGGCTGCTTACTTTTTTTCCTTTTAAAATTAACCGAATTAATTTACGCCAAGTGGACATTTGAGTTAAAAACAAAAAAGTTTAATTTTCCCTAAAAGAAGTAATAATTTTGGGATTAAATAGTCACATTAACTGTCGAGAGGACCTTAATCGGCTGGCCAACAGTGGCACTTGTCACGTCCGCATCAGTGCCTTGTGTTCTTTATCCCTCTATGTTGATTGGTGGTTGCGATGAGTCGCGCAGCAAGGCGATTGGTTAAGCTGAAGACAATACAACGCCAAACGCAATGGCGGATTGTGGTGATTGACTTCCTTTTGAGATACGTCGATGCCGCACGACTGTACAACTTTACCACCGGGTTGTAGTGGCTTATTTATCTCCTTTGCGTCTGTAGAATTGGTTCGATTTAACAACGCCTCTGTTCTGGGTGTTTATTCCCCGAGAATTGCAGTGTTCCCGTACCAAGCTACGCGCCGGTAAGGACACAGCAAATGCCTTAGCGCCCGACTCTTTTCTGAACCCAAGGTAGGAATTTACAAAAGAGGTGGGACGCCATTAGTACGGCTCGAGTGTCATGCCACAGGACGGGAGTACAACCCGCGGAGACTTCAATGCCCGCGTGAGCGAGATTTCCAGCCCTGAAGGTACTATGAGCGCCAGTACACAGGCGAATCCGTAAGCCATAAGATTTTGGAAGTAGTTGTTTCTGGTATTCGCAGAAGCATGAGACAAGCAGCCCCGGCATGGGTGTCAGTCGGTAGATGGCACAATTTTTATATCTTTGACCTCTGGTGCTCAGTATCCAAGGCACACCACATCATGGCAACCCGGAAGAGTAGCGTTTTAACACAGATGCGCAGATCGGGTCGGTATCAGGTGGTGAGTTTACGCGGCTTGTTGTCCAGTCTCCAACTACTGAATCTGGAGAGGCGTCTAGGTTAAACCGAGAAGTTCCGTTCGACAAATCGGTTTAACAGGGTGTACTATTGTAACGGTAGTGGTCACACCGTAGTAGATCTCAAGCCTGTCTACGTGTCGGCACACATGTCAGGGGTATGCTGGTTTAGTCCAAAGCCGTTAATCCACCTAGCGGGCAAAAGCCTGTGTAGCGCTGAAGTTTCTTCTGCACAAAGACGTAAATCTTAGCAAACACTCATGTAGGTATCTTCCAGCAAGGTTCGGTACATAATGTTGGTGGTACACTCAGCCCCTCAGCAATGGTATGAAGCGTCTTAAAGATTGTCGGCACTCAGTGACGATTTCAACTACAGACCTTCTCCCGTCCGCAGCCTTGGACTAGCTGGCGGTGACGTTAAAATTTACCTAGAGTGTGGAGTTTATGCCTCAGCCTGGGCATCTGATTGACGCTTTACCTCCCGTCACTTGACTAGATTGTGCAACGTCGAATACAGCATAATCATTTAAAACATTTAAGAATTTGGATGTAGCAAGGGAGAGAGGCAGACAGTTTTTCACTCTTGACCGATGGCGAAGTGAAGCAGGTCGGTGTGAAGCTGCTTTCTGAGCAGCGATTAGAAGTTGGAAGGAGTGGCGGGTGGCTCTGTATGTGGAAGCGCAAGGATAGTTTGCATTTCTCGCGTGATAGGTTTTAGCACGGAAGACACGAGCCACCGCTTGTGGGGGCTCAAATGTGGTAGCTTAGCCACAGGGACCCGAATTATGACATCGCCAGCACTTTATTTCTTACAGATCTCTAAGTAGCTCTTTCCAGGCCTGTAAGGGTGGAGGCTGGTGCCGAACTAAACGGTTTCATGTGTCACATGAAGTGTTAGATCCGAAAGGGCACCACTAGGCCACGTGGGCACTTTCAGTCTTCTCGAGTTTCACCCATGCACTGGAGGTGTAGGACTGCACATCTCACCAACATTACTTCTCCTCCATCCTGTCCTTTATGTGCACGCGTGCTAGAGGTGCTACCAAACTCGTGGAGTTTGAATTGTCTGCGGAGGTATCTCGAGTACTACACCATTCCAATGTCCAGTTTCAAGGAAAAGATAAGTTGGGAAAAGAACTCACCGAATTTGAAGAAGCCCTTCCTTGGTAAATATGTCATTACTTCCACAATCACTTAGAGCCTTGATAAGTCTCCTGTTTGAACGACGTGGCCACACAAATAAAGCTCCTGACTGCCTATAGGAGGCGTGAAAATTCTGCATATTTTCTTCTCAAGCCAATTTTCCAAGCCAATTACTTCACCCACCATTGGAGGTTTTTGGGTCAAATTTTTGTAAACCCTCTCGCTCTCTCTCCATTTTTGCCCTCCTGTCATTTCTTAGCTCTCTCCCCTCTCCTTTTTTTCGCTCTCCGTTTTCTGCCTCTCGTGATTTCCTGTTTCCTACCGTCAGCTGTTGTTCCTGCCTCGGCTTTCTGCTGTTGCCTCCTGAGGCCACCATGAACGGTGCCGTGTGAACGAAATATTCCACCCCTTGTGTTTGTCTGTATGTTTGGCTTGTTTCTGTTGTTCCTGGTACCTTTCCCTACCCTTTTTTTGCTCTTCTACAGTGTTTGTAGGGGGTTTTTTTTCTCCACTGGCTTCGGTTCTACTTAATTGGATTAGTAGAAGTGAGTTGGGTCTTGGGTCTAATTATCCCGTTTAATTTCACGTCTCCTCTATCTCCATTCCCACCAAGTTGATCGCGTATTCTTGTTTCAAATGTCTGGCCTCTCTTCTGGCGAATTGGTAGCTAATCACTCGCTCTTCAGCCGAACGAACTGTCACCAGCTGACACCCTCGAGCTCTGAAAGATCAAGTCAAGCTCTTAAATAGGAACTCCAGGGAATTTAAAAACCGTTAGAAGCAGTTTGACAAACCTCGACTCGACGGTGCTGAAATGAGTTGTCCATACGCATTTCCTCAATATCATTGAGACACGACCTTTTGACTGATCATTGATGATAGTCATCGGCTGAAGAGAGTTACCTTAACTATCATAAATGCACACCTCACAAATCAGGGCACTAGTTTCCTACACCACGAATTTTTCTTCAACACTGTCAATAGGTGATTAGAGGGAGACGCCACGCCCACCATCCAACCTTATTAAATCATGAACTCTGGCATGCTTTGAGTGGGGGATTTGGCATGCATGTAAGTCAAGAGGGCGCGTAAATACAGATGCGACAATAACTAGTTTCAGGAGGCGAAGGTGTAAACGACGTTGGTCTAGGTACGGAGAGGAACAGAGACCTCAAGGGGCGAGTACAGACCCGCATTTTCATTCGCTTCCCCTCCTCAACCCCTGCCCTGCCTTCCCCTGCCACCCTCCTTTCTCAATCACACTCTGGGAGTTAAAGTTTTGACGCAGCTGTGGTCTGCCTATCATCCCGAACCCCCACACAGCGTTGTGTCGCTTTTTTTCAGGTTCCCAGACATATGAAAATCAACTGCTCAAAATGACGAGTAGGCACCTTGATGTGAAAATTAGCATTATTATTTACTATTAATTGGGGCCATGACCGATTGAAACAGGTAACCTTGACATCCTCTCTCAAAAGCGTCACTTTTTACCGTGCTGACTAGAAATACGAGGCACCTGTGAGTGGAAAATGGTAACAAAGAAGAGGGTCAGATTCATCTTGCTTTGTCTACAAAACCAGGCACGCAGAAGACCAGGAAAAGTAGAGGTAGAAAATTGCTGGGGTTGATGTGCGGTCTGTGTGTGCTTGTGTGTGTGTGGGTGTGTATGTGCGTGTGACTAAGATGGAAATAAATTACACACCACTTGAGGTCAAATTGGGTAGACGTCTGATCTCACGATTTGTCTTTGTGTTTTATGATTTCTCAGCCTTGAGAAGCGAGTAAACAGGAACAGACATCTGCGAGAAGAGTGTTCAACTAATTAATTTTTGTAGTGATAGTCTCAAAGGTAGAGGAAGACAATATTCCCCGTGAATCGGGCACAGTCGATTTTGGAAATACCTTGATGGATTAAGGTCCCCCTGAGCCATTGTGTGGATGTCAGGTGAAATGACAGAAGTGGGGCAGATCTTACGAGCTGGTGAATTAAAACAGGAACCTAGGTGCTTTGAAAGCTGTAAACACGGCGTGGGCTACGCCCAAAATAGGCCGGGGAACAATGTAACTGACTTAACTCTGCACACCTTGTCCGTCTCCCGCAACCTGACGCCATAGTCTCCCAGCTATTCCCATATTTGTCTCCCAATATAACTTAGGGGCAGATGCTGAGGTGGTTTGTTAACCTTGAGAAGGGAGAGGGGAGGGGGAATTTACCGGCCTCGCCGCTAGTGGACATTCATCACATAACCTCTAGCCCCAAAAAACCGCCATCGCGTGAGGAGGATTGACTCAGCCTTGGTGTGCAAATCACAGCACCTGTGGGTGAACGTGCGCGCGAAGGCCTTTCTCAAACGTGTACAAGCACCCACCCACCCGCACGCACACCATAATCTGTCTCGACTCCTACCACCTCGCTTCCCTAACCAGTCGAGTTGTATCCTCCCTCCCTCTTTCCCCCTCCCCCCTTGATTTATACTCAGTCCACTGCGCTTCACAATGGTACGTCAAATATGTGGCGGTAACTTTAATGACCGTCTGACCGTGTCTGTCGCCACAACCACCACCACCACTGCGCATGCTCAACTTGCTGGTAGATAAGTTGGCCGTGCTGCACCGATCAAGCCGCGCGTG